AATTGGTGGAACAATTTTCTGCCCCAACAAGGGAAGAAAGACATTATAACTGTAGCATAATCTCTAACATCAGATTAACATTGTAATAGAAAAGAAAGGAATTCCTCAAACTCACAATAAGAAAACAAAAACAGTTCCAGCCCCTTCCATTTGCATCACAACCCATCCCTGATGCCCTTGGCTCTTTCGAAATGTTAAATATTGCCCTCAGCCACCAAAAGGTTTCATCTTAAGCCTCCACCAAAAGGTTTCTCCTGACTTAAGACAGGATTTAGAGTGGCATAGAGATAACTCTACTGTTAAAACAGGCACACAATATCGGGTCAATCAAAGGAGAGAACAATAGAATCTCAGACAGAATAACGTCTTGGGCTCAACCTGCCCAGCCTTGTTTCACTTTTTTTGTCTTTCATCTGCATGCAAATCTAGATGATGTTTTGAGCTCCTCCTCACCAGTTTATCTCTCCTTTCAAAAAGCAGAAATGCACCTCACATTTTCATGGGATTGTGGTTTCCTTACATGTGAGCTCCACTTTAAGAGAAGGTACTTTATGGCCTTTTTATTTTGGAGATAGTTGTTATCAAGCTCAAAGTTATGAAAGAACAAGAAGCAGATGGCAGGCTTCTCGCTTTAGGCAGGGCATCTCCGATGGCTACATTTGAAAGGGATGGAGAACGGACTGACAAAACAAACAAGGGGAAAACCAGACTCTGCAGTTCCCCTTCATTCTAATTTGGTGAACAAGAAAGCAACTGCTGCTACAGGGAGTGTTGTGACAAATGTGTTTCCCAAAAGAGTAGATAACACTTGGCACTGTGATATTTACAGCATGCCAGTAATAGGAGGGAGAACAGAGCATGGTTGGAAACAATAGATGCCTATTTCAGTGGCAGACTTATTAAAATAAACAACTTCATTTGTTGTCACTGTCATCTCTTAGAAGAGCTCATTGCTTTGTTCATACATTGAAGTAATTCAAACATTTTTCATATGTTAAATTACCAGTTTATCCAGTAAAAGAAGTTTCCATTTACTTTGAGTCAGATTTAGTCATTTATTAGATGCTCAACTTGCAGCTAACAAAATGAGAATCGTATATGTATTTCATAGCTGTTAAAGCCATTGCACCTATATTTGATAATAAAATAAATACATGCGTTCCTCACTTTTTGTACTGGTGTGAAAACAGACCATACCAGATTATATCCAGTTATATTAGTTGAATTTGGTTCCCACTGAAATCCATGTGAAGTTCATTTTAATATTGATTTCAGCGTGTCATAAATTTAAAAATGGAACTTGAATGTAATCCAAGGGTTGGATTCACATGTTTCATTATGCCATAATATGTTTTGTCTTGTTTGTGATTACCACATAAATGAACCCTATGATTTGTAAATCATTGTTTGCAGCTAATTATGGCTTAGACAAAAAAAGCAGTAATGGCATATAGTAGCGTGGTGTATGAATTAGATCCTAAGGTGGTTTAATTTTTGTTACTTTCTTTGTCACCAAGAAAAAAAACACTTTTCCACATATCTTTCCCCCTTCATATATTCAAATTGTCATTTCTTTAGACTGTAATATTCTGTTACTTACACCGCAAGAAATGTATTTTGATGCCTTTTATCAACTAGCAACAGAAGCCACAGTTATGTCTAACTGTTCCATGTGACATTAGGTTTTTGCACAATCAATAATTTATTATTAAGAATGATTGGGATTTCATATAAAATTCTTCTTTTACTGATAAATTAGAATTGTTATTTGATCATTATGTTGTCTTCCCATGAAAGAAAACCTTCTTATTGTCCAATTTCAATATCTAGTCTTCTGTTTGCATTTCAGTTTATTTGAACATTTTTAATCACCTCCATCTTAGTAAATTATATTATTTAAGTGGGTTATATTCTCTGTACATCAGTTGAAACTTCTATGCCACATTGAGTTTATGCTGCTTAAAATGCAAATAATCTAACTACTACACGCATAAAATTGCTGAACTGATAAGACAGATGTACAAAGCTGCTAGATATATTTATTATTACAGGGGGTAGGAGTGATTTAAACCTCTGTCTATTTTTAATACTTAAATTGAAATATATATACTTAAAGGACAAACAGAAAATGGATCAACTTTCAAGCTTTTTTGTTCATTAAGGAAGAACAGACAATTTTTAGAAATATTAACAATATTGATATAAAATAAAATAAGTACTTAGGAATCCTATCAGATACACTTTTTCTTCCGGATAGTTTAATTTCCCATCCTTTTTAATATGACCCCAGATTCTAGAGCTGAGGAAGAGCTAGAAAGATAATTATCTATCTATATTATTTGCCCCATGCATGATTCTGTAAATATTAATCACATTCCTCTCAATTTTTTGTTATCCTTAGGCCAGAACACTTTACATGTTGCTACCCCCCCCTTTTTTTTAAAGAAAGAAATATGTGGAGATTCCAGTCTGTTCGTTTTCAGCAATTTTTCTACACTACAATATATGTTAAACTACAGCATTCATAGTTCCTAAATACATTGAACAAAAACTGGAATTGTAGGAGATGTCATCTAACATATGGAGAGGCACTAAATATGTTTCAGTATTTTGTTTAATGAAATCAAAAGCGCTTAGAGACTTAGACGTTTAGACAACACAGAGTTGAAAAGAAGAGGAAAAATGTTTAAATAATATAAAAGAGAAACAAGTGCTGGAAAGCAAAACTAGAATTGAGAGAAACCTTGAAGTGAGGAAATGACTCACTAGATGAAAGGGAGGGCAAGTGATACAGAAAAAATGAAAGTGGCTTTGAGGCAGAGTCAAAAATCTGGGATAAAGGTGAAGCTAAATTTCCAGAGTTTTTAAAAGTTACATCAGAATCTATGCCACCTCATATGCTAACTTTTTATTACTGTTTATTTTATTTTCATTGTTACTTTTATTATCTTTATTATTATTATTCTTCATAAGAAAAAAATTAAACACATTCATTGTACTTTAAAAAAAAAATCCAGTTCGTGTCTGCAAGCTTACAAATATAAAATGATGAAGAACAACAAAGTGAGCACAAGCACAAGCAAAAATGAAGAGCAGTACAATGAATTTGTCATGGATGTCTTTTTTCTTGAGTAGATACAGGGCATTCTGATCTCTCCCTTCATCTTGAACAACGGGCAGAGCTAGAATACTCTGATAGTACTTTCTGTGGGAGGAGATAGCTCCACCTCCAGTTTTGTAATGATAAGCTAGAAGAAAAACTCAAATTAAGCCCACTTGAGAAAGATAAAAATAAATAACAGATACAAATGGTTACTGAAATTGAATATGGCCCCCATATCATTGTTAGGGGCACAGTGCCTCGGTGGGCTGGATGCCTTGTTTCTGATATAGAAAAAGGATCTTAGTATGTCTGGTGCTAAGTTTTCTTCAGCAGTCGGACTTAGGGAATTCTGTAGTTTGATAATATCTGGAGAAAGCCACATTTTTTCTAGGAGCTATTTTCTGTACAGGTAGTCCTTGACTTACAACAGTTCGTTTAGTGACCGTTTGAAGTTACAACAGCACTGAAAAAAAGGGACTTATGACTGATTTTTACACTTAGACTATTGTAGCATCCCCATGGGTACATGATCAAAATTCAAATGCTTGCCAACTGACTCGTATTTATGACCGCTGCAGTGTCCCGAGGTCATAATATCACCTGCAGTGATTCACATAACAACTGTGACAAGAAAGGTAATAAAATCAGGCAAAACTCGCTTAACAAATGTCTTGCTTAGCAACAGAAATGTTGGACTCAATCGTGCTCATAAGTCAAGGACTATCTCGACTAAAAGAAACAAAGTCATACCAACATCAATGCCAGGTTTGTGAAGTAGTCCAGACAAGGGAGCATAGCCAGATGAACTAGTTCTACCTTGGGAGGCAGGGAGAAGAGCACAGTCAGGGCAACAGGGCAACAATAAGTGGCCACAGCCTGCAGAGGCATTTGGATGTGGCAAACATTTCAAGAGGGACCCTCCTTAGTTTCTTGGGCTATAAAGGCGATGGCAGGAAAAATATACCTTCAGACTTGCAAGGTTCTGTTAATGTAACCTTACAATAAAGCAGAGCTCATTCTTCTGGGTGTGCTACTTGTATGCACTACTTGCAAGGCTGACATTGATGATGGCATGGTTTTGTTTCTTTTACATATCTAGATGAAATCATATATGCAACTGGTAAAAGCTCCTCAGGGAGCTAGAATAGAAAGAAGGCCTTGCTAAATCCAATTACAGGTGTGTAATTGAAACTAGCTGTTACAAGTAGCTAACTATATGTGTACACAAGTTGGAAGGCAAGTTGGAATTGGAAATTGAATCATCTTTTCCCAGATGAATTGCCATCAGAGTTAGAGCTACTTCTGGAATGAGCAGAAAGGAACTACCCCACTATAGAATTCATTGGCTCTGCTACAGGAAACAAGTTCAAGGAAATCTACATATTTGGAGGCAGGATATTCTAAAGAAAAGGATTTGGAAAAATAGAAAACAATAAAATAATGAAGAAATTTCAGGCTATATGAAGACTAGTAATTAATGCAATAAAGGTTAGTAATTTTAGGCAAATAGAAACTTTACTTTTGCAAGATTCAAGAATTCTCAGATGTCTCAAGAACTTCGCCCTTGAAATTTTTCCAGAGTTTGCATATTCCTATCTTTGTTTGCAAGACTACATCCAATAATACAGAGATATTCAAATGCAGCTGAGTAATTTCAATACACAGATTGATGGCTTCTTTAGAGAATAGCCTTGTAGATATGCTGATTTTGGCATATTGTTTATTCTTCTCAAAAACAGATATTTTATCAGGCCTGTGATGGTGATAAAGTAATATGACAGAAGAGTGAACAAATAGCAATTTTGGATGCTTATATGGGTTGATATTGTGATGCCAAGAAAAAGTAGGGAGGCAGACTAATGGCATAAACAAATAAGCAACATCTAATTAAAATGAGGTTGGAATAATCTTAATAACTCCCAACTTTCTCTTTTTTAGCCACATAGAGAAAATTACAACTTGGCAAGATCCTCGAAAGACTATGACCCAGCCATTAAATCACATGAGCCATCATCCTTCAACCACTTCCACCCCAGTATCACAACGATCAATGGCCATGTCGCAACCCAACCTTGGTGAGTAATAGGAAGAGCAGCAAGAGATCCAAATAATTGTGACCTTCCTTCTAATCTCTTTTATTGACAAACAATATAATTGGTTGACTGTGCATAACGATGAATAAACTTTGGGGACTAAGTCCAACAATTAGAGTGAGTCAGAAAGTACAGAAGCTTCTTGATGAATATCCAAGATCTCTGTGGAAACCTTTTGGACCTAGCAAATTCTTGTTCATTTCATTGTATCAAATATACTATTTGTTAAGGAAATTAATTTGTGAACATCTGTTTCACTTGTGTCTCATCTGGGAACAACACTTGTGTCTCATCTTGTGGACAAATTTACAAGATTTAAAATGAATTTCTTTTTATTTGAAAAGTTAATTTTGTATTGTTTACTTGGTAGTTAACTGTACTTAAATGGAACTTTTATTTAACTCCAACTAACCTTAACTCCATGCTTAATTGAAGTAACATATATTAATACAGTTGAAGTTACTTCTGTACAGACATACATAAAATTGTGCTGCATTCTTTTATGATGGTAATTAAAAATTATGGTAAACTAGGTTCTGAAATAGATATTTCAGTTCTGGGTAAGATGGAACCTATTTATTTATTTGTTTGTTTATATTTCCTATTTGTTAACTGCCCATCTCCCTCAGATCTGTGGAAGTAATTAATATCTATTAAGGTTTATAATAGATATTAATATATCTATTATATATCTATATATAAAGGCTGCCTTTTACTGAGTTTGACTTTTGCTCTACTTATCTCATATATTTGTAAAGATTGGCAATGAATAAAAAAATTCCAGAGTAGTCTTTTCCCAGCTATAGCTGGCAATACCCGTGATTTGCTCTGGATTTGTTACATGTCCTAAATTAGATTTTTTTTTTGTGTGAGTTGGAGTTCCTAATTGCATTATGTTTTCCAGAACTTAGATAGCATATTAATTCTCAGCATTTAGCACCTTTATGTAGCCAAAGAAAAATAATGTTTTTGGTTCAAATTTGAAGGTTAAAAAGCAGATTTTTTAGACCAGCCCATGAGTCCTGAAACCAGGCCTACTGAGCCAACATTCTCCTAGACCTAGATAATTAGATGGAATGGAAATTGGATAAGGAGTCAGACTTAATAGCCTGGCCAAAATCTGTTCAAAAGCAGATTTTGTATTTCTGTCTTTTGCCTTAAGATATTTAAGCAAAAAAATTATATTGGACAATGTGCCATGAACAAGGTAGAGACTAAAGTTTTTCTAGGTGTCTATCCTAGTCTGTTCTTTTGTGAGTTTTTACTGTTGGGCTGCTTATTATTATGAGCTGAAAAAAATGTTTTTTCCCCCTGAATGACTTATCTACTTTTACTTCACTTTTCATCTTGTATTTCAAGAAAAGATACAAAAAACCCTGGCAGATATTTTATTAGTAAAGATTTCTGATTAAATAGAATAAAAAATAAATAAATTGAAATTCAGTTTTTAAAAGTACCAATTCTGGTTCTCCCATCTTTTTTGTGTCTGATCTTTGTGGCACAATAATTTGACTTGTTTACTTGTATATGTTACTGAATGGCAACAATTCCCATCATTGGCCATACTGGCAGATATATTTCACTCAGATCTGGAGAATTGTAGATCCCCTATCTCTGCTTTATTGGTTATGATGAGCAAATCTTCTCCAGCTTGTGCATATAGTGTAGAACCCATATCAATATTGGGACTGTTTTATGTTAGGTCTAGGTCAGGGGTAGACAACCTTGGCTCTTTTATGACTCGTGGACTTCAACTCCCAGAATTCCTGAGCCAGCTATGCTAGTCTAGGTTGTTTTTTTCTCCTAATATGGTTAGACAGAAGAAATAGATTTCTAAACCAGAAGAAGATTTGGGTGGGGGATGAAGGTTCGTTCTCTGAGCTTGAGGGTTGGTTTCTGAATGTTTCATTACCAGGCTAGGTAACATCTTCAGTGGAATTTAGGGGATGTCAGTGTCAGTGTTCTTCTGTTTATACGGGCTTGGTGTGGTCAATAGGTCTTGTGATGGGTCAGGTGTGGGTGTGTCAAGTGATCCAGGTCATAATTGTCGCAAAGGTGCTTTTTCAAAAGGCAACTGGACTGGGTTTTTTTTCTTGAAGAAAAACAAAACATTTTGTTCTTCTTCCTCAAAGAAAAAAAACCAGTCAAATTGCCTTTTGAAAAAGCACCTTTGAGACCTTGACCAAGTGGTTATTATTTCCAAGTTATTTTTGCTTGGATGGAGCCATATATCATGTGTCTACCACAGTACATTTACAGTGTACTCTAATATAAGTTTCTTCAAATTGATGAGAAATTATATGTGGAGGCCACAGTGGTAGGTAAGGTTAATCTAGAAGTAGAACAGAGGAATTTTTGGCACCAAGATGTACTCCTTCGGGGCAAATTTGTTTCCTTAAAGTGGTGCATCCCTATTTGATTCTTCTTCCAAAAGGAATATTAGGGGGGGAAATACTCTCTTGGATAAAACACCAAAGTGAACTAAGGTTCTGCTTTTAATACAAATGTTCTTTTCTTTTGTATATTTGTCCTGTTCTTAAATAGCCCCATTACCTTTGCTAGAGGTGAAGATTACTTGTTGCATGAGATTGTGAAATTGCTTTTTATTGCTTTGAAACTTTCTCTGTTGTTATGCACTGCTAGTATTACTTCTACTATGGCTGTACTACTTTTAGCAATACAGATATTTCCAAAATGACTGCTGTGCAGTATCAAAATGCATTAGTGAAATAAAAATACAGAAACTTAAGTCAACAAGATTTCCCCAACAGAGCTATAACAGATGGTCCTTAGGAGCAATGGAAGATGTTCAAGGTAAAAGATGCTCTTTGTCTACTTCCATTTCTTCCCCACTTTTCCCTTTGGAATGATATTAATCTGAATAGTGTAAATTTCATTATGCACTGTACATTTCTTGACTCTGTTACTTTTTAAAGACACATCTGTAATGTATGTTCAAGATTTAGCAGCTTTACTACACAAGGGCTGCAACATAGCTAGAAAAGGAGAATGTCGTGGGTGCTCGGGGCCTCACTTGCGTGAATGTCGCGGGTGCTCATGGTTCCATTCGTGCAAGTATTGCAGGCGCTTGTGGCCTCACTCGCTCGAGTGCTCGGGGCTTCACTCACGCGAGTGGGTGCTCTCGGCCCCACTTGTGTGAGCAACAGATGCCCCTCCCACAAAACCATCCCCTGTTTCACCCCTCCAGGCCGCCAACCCCGAAAAGTTGGGGAACTCTGTTCTAGGGACATCTTTGTAATGAATTTCAAAGTAATAATAGAATCCAGATACTGGGGAAGGTTCCAGATACATTGTTGTTACCATCTTCTCTAACTAGCGCAGCAGTTGGGCCTGCAAAGGAACTATAGTCTAATACAGCTGAAGAAAGATATCCTGGAAATGATAGACCTGGTAGTATTTTTTACTTCTTTCCAACTCTAAAAGATCTAGATTTTTAAGCTTCCAGACACAGGAGGACAAAATGTCTGTACTGTTCTTCTAGTTATACTGCTTGTCTTGGTGTTGCTGGCATCAGAATGTGCCTGCTTCTGCTGCTTTACCTTTCCTCCCAACCGGCAGGCAATCTGGCAGGAACATTAAGACATGATCTGTGCCATTGAAAAGGGATTCCTCTGTTATCCCCTTCTTGGGATCCTTCCTGCTGGTTGACTGGAGAAGCTGTAGGCCTCATCCGTCTTTGCTGGGCTGTGATTGACAAGAGACAAATGGGAAAACTTGTCTGATGTTCAAATTTGACGCAATGCAAGAAGAATCAAGGAAAGGAAGAGAACAGATTGCTGTCAACTTGAAAACTGAGCTTGGGAGTCCAAGCTTAGGTCTAAGTTGCCAATCTCTTGCCTTCTCTCTTCATTAAAATATCTTCTACTCTGCCTTCCACCCACATAGTCAAACTGAGGCTCTGGGCCATTATTTCTTGGCAGGAGAAAGAGGAATTTGAGACTTGACACACCTATATAAATTGCAGTCAAATGGACGCTTGGAGGAAGGTCCTATTAATCACTCCCCTTTTAAAAAATGGGGAAAAATCAGTTTATTTATGTCTTTGCTTGTTCATGTATGCAGTAAGGGTTGCAGTGGGCCATTTGGGCTTCTGTGTCTTTTTTTTTTTTACTTCCTTCCCATAAGAAACCCCATAAATAAAACCTGTGCAACAATAAAAGAACCAACTTTTTTTACCCTGCTGTATTGTTACCGGTAGGTATACAAGCTGATTCTGATGTATTTGTCATATGTCAAAGGTGGGGAAACCAAGGCCAGAGATGATATTTGCTACAGCCTCTGGAGAGGACATATCCCCTCAATGAAATTGGATTGCAAAAGCTCTTTCTGTTTCAAATTGTGCTGCATTATTCAGTACCCTAAAATTAATAGACAGGTGCTAGATGGGTTTCAAAATAATCATGTAATTTTTCTGGAGAAGCAAATATAATTGATAAAAAAGAAGATAGAAGTATAAGACTTATCCAAAAGTGCTTTTGTCTTTAAGTAGCCATGTATAAGATTGCTCTGTCAGGCCTCAATTTATCATAAGCAGGAAGCAGGTGAACTGCAGAACTGACTAAAATAGCTTGGCTCCATTACTCCCTGGCTCTCATCCTCCCTCCTTCCCTCTTGCTGTTTCGTGGCCTCCTGACCAACTTATATATGGTGCCCTTCAGTCAAAAGTATTTTGAGAAAATTCAAGGAGCTGGCATTACACATTTTACTCACTCTTTGTATGCATGTATGTGTGTGTGTTTCTCCCAGGATTTAAGCACAAAGGCCCAGAAGTGTTGTTAGATTTTAATTATCCAAGATCCAGGTAGAAATTAGTTCTTAGTGACTATAAGGTTTTTTTTTTCCTTTATCATTCTTTTCAAACCTGAATAGAAAGTTTTCTACTGACTTAGGACAGTACAGGGTTTTTATTTAATACTTTACAGATTTTTGAACCACTGTGTACTCTCAACTGGAAAGCAGTA